GACCTCCTTCCCAGTCTTAAATGTGAGCTGATATGTGTTGCACTCTATGTTTTCCAAACGACGATCCTTGAGTATGACTGTCGTTCATCTATTTGACGATATTTCTTCCAAATGATCGTAAACGATACTTTGAAGCACAAAGAACAGCACTCGAAGTTGTACGCGCCATAATTTGTTTGACACAAACCGCCATACTCTGGTGAAACGGTGTGGCTGTGTTTTCATTGGCGAAAAAAATGGTTTTACCAAAACGTTTCCTGCTTACGCAAATACGAGTTGATATTTGCCGCACTCTATGTTCTCCAAACGACAATCTGAGAGCGTAACTACCGTTAATCCGATCGAAGATGCTTATTCCATTTGATCATGAACAGCCCGTTGTAGTGGACAAACGTTAACTACGCTCGAAGGTTTCCCCGTCATAATTTCTTTTACTCTAGGAACCAACACCTGAAGTATCAAGCTTTTCCCAAAGCCAGTTGGCAACACGATCAGTAGATCCTTTCCAGAACCAGTGTAGCAATTGCTTCTTTTTGTTCCGATTTTAATGCACGAGACATTGACAACTTTATCATTTACAGAGTTTGGCGACCATAATTACCGTTGGGAGAATAATGAGCACTCGCTCGCCAAAATTACGTCTGCTCCGCAGGAACCGTTGAAATCCCAAAATTTCTCCATGGTAAACTCGTTGATTCGAACTCATGGTCGAAGACAAAGAATTAAAAGACTAGACGTTGACAAAGGAAACAGAAGAGTTTTTTGTTTTCACTTTATAGTAAACAAAAAGTCAAAAATTCTGGTCCGCTCTTCTCCTGGTAAAGTTCGCGTTGATTACACAATTATCCTCGTTACACACCAAAGGGCGTACTTAAATGTATCTGAATCCTCTCGGGATTAGTCCCAGTCCTCACATAAATAAATTAATAATTGGGCAAATCATTCCCCCCCTAGTGCGGAAATGTATCTATACTCGTGAATAGATTGAGCAACTAAATAAATTTAAATTTTTATACTGCATTTAGTTCCTGTTTGGTTGCAATTAAGCAGAGCATGTGAATTGGACGGTCATAAACTGATGTAGCAGTCTTTATCCTGGGTTTCCTCGTGAGTCCATCTTGTCCGGGATTCGTTTGAATTACTAAGCCTATCTTCCATGTTCCCCCCTTGGGGTTGGTTCTATTTCCAACACCAAGTCACCTTCCTGGAGGTTTTTGCGTTTCATCCAACGACTTCGGAACTCTTGTACTCGTTTCTCAGTGCTTCTCATGAGGTGTCTCGGGTTAACTCTCTGTTCTGGCTCCGGCACGGGAGGCGGAAAGTGGTGTCCGATTAAGAGGTCATTTGGCGTGACAGGGAGATTTTCTTAGATCTCGACAGAGCTAGGATAAAGAGGACGTCCATTCATCAAATAGATCACCTCTGCCAGATACGTTCTCTCCTATTCCTCTGTAAAGGTTTAATACTTCGAGGAAGCGTCTAAGGCTTGTTTTACTGATTTGATGAGACTTTCCACACTCCGTTTTGATGGCTAGCTCGTGGTATGTTTGACTCCCAGCGGAAAGCGCATTAAAATTCTTCTGATAAGACATTTTGAATTTTGGGGATGTCCTAACATTGCAATATTTCGTTCAAGTAACTTTGTGCGCCAACAAAGTTCGCACCTGGGATATCCTCTGAGTGCGGCAAATCATCGAAAAGCCATGAGAAATGTATCGGAGCTTCTATGTGTTACGACCACTTCTGTTGGCATGCATGTAAAAGTGCTTCCTTCAGTGTTTTTCTGCCGATTCATATTTGCAGAGGTTCAAACATGTCAATTGCTGTGTTGCTGAACGCTGGGAAACCTGCTGCATGCGCAGTCTCGGAATCTGACCCATCATTTGCTCCAACGGTTGACTTCACAACTGCTTGCAGGTCATACATTTACCAGTTACTTGTTTGGCTATGTTTCGCACACCCACGATCCAGAAACGCTTCCTTGATTCATACACGAGACTTTTGTAACCCCAATGTGCTTGCTTTTCGTGAAGGTATTTCAGGAGTAGATTTACCGATTGATGACCTCGTGGAAGGATAATGGGATTACACATCTCATCCGGTAACGATCTGATGTTCTCTAGTCTCCCATGTGCACGCAACACACCTTGTTCATCTGACGCTAGGATCAGATTCTTGTTTACAGTATCTAGATTTATCGTCTGTTGACTCCATTTAAATAACCACAGTTCGGATTCTCTCAATTCTTCTGGCGAAATGGCGTCTTCTCTGTTGTGCTTTCAACCTTGTGTTGTTGTTGAATCGTAGAACATAAGCCAAAGTTCTCCTTGTCTTGGCGAACTTGGAACAAGATTTCATTAAATGTTTTTGTCAATTTTTGACTCCGTTGATGTAGCTGAGCAATCTACTTGTTTATGGGTGCTGCCTTGAAGTTATTGAGCAGCTTCATTTCCTCTGACAATTCTTTACCACTTCCCCTAGGATTCTCTTCAAACTTGGCCATTCTTCTTCTGGGTGTTTCAGAAATGGAGGACCTTCATGCCAGGTCTTCAACTTTTCTAGCAGAGTTCCTCAGGACGTCAGCAGGATTATGGTCAGATCTGATGTATTTACACGCTTCTGGGCCCATTGTTTCCTATATTTCAGCAACTTTCACTGAAACAAACGGTTTGAACTTTCTTGATTGGATCAATCCAGAACAGTTTCTTGCAATTGCTGATCTCGGCGAATTCTAGTGCTTCTTTACATGTACTGTATAATTTTGCAAGTTAGAGGCACCCCATTAACTCCAAGCGTAATACTGACTTTTTCTTCAAAGGGGCAACAAGCGCTTTAACCATGAGCAGTATGCAGGAATAATTGCCATCTGCGAGTTTCCATCGAAGGAATATGGCTGAACCATAGGCTCTCTCTCCTCCGTTGCAAAACCCGTGAATCTCTGGCAATCCAACCGCGTTGTCAGGATTTAGCTTTCTGCTGAACTCTAACTTAAGGAGTTTGTTGAGTACTTGAACATTCTCCATCCACTTCGTTTGGCTTTCTTCATCCCATGAGTATCCTACGCTCCATAGTTCTTGTAAATCGATCCTATATTCAATGGTTGCCGGGGTTACAAGACCCAAGGGGTTCCACAACTGAGTAAGGTAGGCCAGACAATTTCTCTTCGTCAGATGGCTTCCATCTGAAACGAACGAGTTTTTGTGAACTCTAACTTAAGGAGTTTATTGGAGGAGGCTTCCAGGCTTCCATCTCAAACGAACGAGTTTGTGTGAACTCTAACTTAAGGAGTTTTGTGTAGGCCCATTTTCAGGCAAGGATAGATTTCCAGGTGGTCATCTGCTCTCTCATGTTTGTCCTCTGGTTCAACCTTTGCCTCTCAAAGGTGACAAGTACATTGTGTGACACTTGAAGGTAAACTTCGTTTCCACTTCGTTTGGCTCTCTTCATCACATGAATATCCTACGTTCCATAGTTCTTGTAAATCGATCCTAAATTCAATGGTTGGCAGGGTTACAAGACCCAAGGAGTCCCACAGCCGAGTAAGGTAGGCCAGACAATTTCTCTTCGTCAAATATATATGGTAGACTAAACGTGTCGTGAACTTTGTTCCACTTATGTTCAAGGAAATAGGTGAGCTTCCGAGGCTTTGGCCGGGGTATTAATTGTTACTATGGTTATGTCTGGTGCAGGTTTGTCTCCAAAGTTTAACTTTAACCACTGATAGACTCTTGGTTGCTCGGTATCTTTTGTTCTCCACAGAAAGCGGTGAAACACTTGATCATCTGGATGAATCTTCACTTGATTGAACATTTTGTGTACGTCACCAGTATTCGCTTCCTTGTCAAAGCGCCATGCAATGAACACGTTGGGAAAACTATCGATATAGTTTGGACCTTTCTCGAGATGATCATTCAATGACTTTCCATCACGTCCTTGCGCGGAGGCATCGAGTACTAACAGGACTTTGGTTTTTCTGTCAGGAGTGAAAAATGCTTGTAGGGGAAGATACCACTCTGGGGTTTCATGTTTGATCTGTTCTAGAGGTACCTCTTTTACGAATTCTTGTTCAAGTAGCTTCTGAACTTCGTCTTGTATCACTTCAAGGCAATCTTTTCTCCTGAACGGTGTTTTCGGAAGAGATCATTTGTTTCTAGGCGACATCGTAATTACTGTCTTTTGGAGGAACCTCGTCTTTCCATGGCATGCGCACTTGGACACGCCCATCTATGATTTGAGTTGATTTTGCAATCGACTTGATAAATCTGCTTTCCTTGAAATCTTTATTACTACACGTGCAGAGCTCGGTGGGTTTGACTCCCAGCATGTCTTGAGTAAGGAGTTTCTTCTTCTTTCTAGAGACTGTTCTTGCTGGACTGTAAGGCTTATTTATCACGTAAGCTCTCACTGACTTCTGAATGTGGTCTTCAGCTGTTGACACAACACTTGTGTTAATGAGCTCTGATTCTTCTGATTTCTTATTACCTCCTGCCAGGTTCATGGTCAAATGTGTTTTAGCACCGCTTATACCGAGCTTCCTCTTTACATTCTTTGAAATGAAACTTGTGTTCGAGCCTCTGTCTAGCGTAGCGTGGACTGTAAAAAATCCATTTACGAAAAAAATAGACAAGAGTCCAAACTCCGTAGAAAATATGTATTAAACTTGTTAAATGAACCACAACATTTGGCTAAATAAAACCTCCGAAAGTTCTGTGAACTCCAAACAAAGGGGTAGCAAATTTACGCGAACGAAAGCTCAGAAACAACTCAATAAAACTGCGCGAAAAATAAAACTAAAAGTACGCGAAAAATCCATGTCAGTTTTCCAATGTCAAGGTTAGAGTTCTTCGGCGTAATTGGCTAATTTGTGAAATCACGCGTGCATCGTGCGAGTACAAAAATAAGACGAAGGGGGGAGAGGAAGAGAAAAATTGTAACTTGAAATTTAAGAAAACGAAAGAAATTTTCTACATCTTTCCCCTCGATCAGTTTTCCTTAAAAAATTAGTTCTCCTGTTCTTGAAGAGACTGATGGACTTCTCGTCTTCTAACTTCTCCTGTGATGGAAGCTCTCCTCCTCTGCCTTTGTGTGTTTTCCTCGGGCCTTGCTGGAACTTGTCCTGTACCCCCAACTTCTCGAACTTCTAACGGAAACAATTTTTGTAAGGGTCGTCTGAGGCGTTTTCGTTTGCCACTGCTCGAAGCAACCTCCACAGTAGTTCCTCGAACGAAACCATCGTTTCCAGGATGCAACTCCGCAATCCTTCCAAGTTTCCAAGTACTGCGATTTGACTTCCCCTCTTCCATTTCGGTAACAATATCACTTGACCGAATCAATTGACCGAGCAATTTAGACAAACAACGCTGCCTTCTGGTGAGGAGTTGGACATCAGTTTCATCTTCGTCAGCGGTTGCACATTCGTCAGGGATGTACAGAATTCCCCTAACCGTCAATGGATGAGAAGACGTAAGGGGTTCCTCTGTATCCTCTGAGGATACACAGGTGAGTGGTCTCGAGTTCAGTACACATTCCACTTCCACAACAACAGTCAAAAGCTCGTCATACGTCAACTTCACGTTCTTCAAAATTTTCTGAAGACAACGTTTAACACAACGAATCATGTGTTCGAAGAAACCGCCCCACCACGGCGCTAACTTTAAATTAGATCTTCAATCAGTCTTGTGATCCAAGAGGAAACTCTGAACTTCTGGCAACTCAAAGAGGGATGATAAGAACTTAGCAGCGGTCTTGACGGTTTGGGTGTTATCTAATACAATCAGCTTTGGTATACCTCGTCTACAAATGAAACGTTTAAAGCTTCTGATCAATGTTTCCGTGCTCAGGTCTGGTACAACATCAACATGAACGGCTCTACTACTTCCACAATAGAATACGATGTATACTTTCTCCATACCACCCTTCTCTTTATAGCCACTCTTAACAAATGACGGTCCGGCAAAATCGAATCCAGCGTTGGTGAAGGCAGGATTCTCTTAAACACGAGATCGAGGCAGGGGCGCAGTCGGAGGGATGCCATAATGCTGTCCCTCTATCTTCTTGCAATCCACGTATTTTCAAGGAATCTTGCAAACGAATTGTCTTCCTTTCACAATCCAGAATCTAGACCTTAGTTCTGCCGAGGTTTCTCTCACTCGTTATGTTGGACTCGCTTGTGGCAATCTCGAATGATAAGAACGGTTAGGTAATGACCTGATGGGAGGAAAATGGGGAACTTGGCGTTAAATAGAATCTTAGCATTCCGTCGTCTTCCATTACGCCGGAGCAACTCGGTTTCATCTGTGTACCATGCTAGCAGTTGTTTCAATTCTTGAAATTTCTGTGACTTGATTACAGATTGTTGCATTTGGCAGATCCATAGAATTTCGAAAACTTTTCCTCAGCATCGTAGTTTTCTCTCCAAATTTGTCCTTTGGAGACTCCCACGAGACTACAAGCTCCGACGAATCGCTCTGACGAGGGGCTAACGCACGAAACGTCAGCTTTTTTACCCTTTACGGTGGCTAATTTACGTTTTCAACTCAGTTGTTAACACTAAATTTCCTGCTATTTCAAACTTCCCGCGAGAACATCGATATATGCTAAGCTCCGCCTCTCCGCACACACCGCCAAATCAGTATTGAAATTGAGGTAGTAACTAGACAATACTTAAAAAATTACAAAAGCCAATCGTTACGGTCATATGGAAACCACACTCAACTTATTGTTGTTGCGAGATAGACTTAAGTTCTATCTCGACGATCGTCGCAATCACATGCCGGTTGTCGGAAGCATCGCTCAACTCTTTCTCCACCGATCGGAGCGATCGAAGCGATTTTAACGAAATAGAAAATAGGCAATAACATAAAATAGAACTTCCGGCTTTCGACCTCACTCCTTGGTTGTGGGTTCATGGAACCTACTTTTTTTTGCGAGTTCGATTGTTAATGTTAAATTTAACGATACCATAATTCTCTTACATTTCCCCTATAAGGATTGTTCCCTCAGGCGTAAGCCTGTTTTAGGCGGGTGCTTGTTTGTTTGTTTGTTTTTCTCTTTGCCGTTCGAACTTTTAAGAGAGAAAAAAAATCCGGTAATATACTCTCGGTCAGGACTGCGGAACAGTAAAAGAGCGCAAGGGTGAAGTTCAAGTGAGTGACCCGTGCCTCGCGCTCGCTCTTTGAGCAACACTTTTAACAAGAAAATATTTCAGACTATCGACTTTACGATCTCCTTTGCAGCCGATGTTTTTGTAATCGCTTCCTCTCTATTTGGAAACAAGGAAGACAAAGACGAAAGGGAAGACCTATTTTAGTAATTGAGTCATCAAAAAACATCAGCGGATTATAACAGCGCGAGTGAGAAGTAAAAGCGAGTGACCCTCGCACGAGTCGCATCGCACTGCTCACAATGAACTGAAACGACCAGGCCATTGTTTCGCGCTGTTTTTTTCGAAGGCCTGCGAAAATCACGTTTAAGACAAAGAGCAAGTGAGCGCGGAAAAATTCACCTGATCACACGTAACTCGCTGATTGAGCACCGCCTAACCTGCGATTTCGAGTCCCCTGCCGCTGCACTTCACACTCGAAAAAAAAAGCCCGCCTGATCACAGCTTAAGCTTTCTAAACCGCCTGTTCTTCACGAAACTTCTTCGATAATTCAGAGAACGTTTTTGTTAGTTGTCTATCGAGTCAAATAAAAATAACGCTAGACACGAATTTGCAAAACGCTTTGTTGACAGAGCGGCCCGCCTTTAATTAGAGCGCTGTTGTTAACTCTATCGCACCTTGGGATTTACTTTACGCATCCAACCATTTGATCGACAGCAGCTGAAATCTGCAAAGAGACTCAAGTATTCCCAAAGCGAAATCTGTTGACCCATCACAGCCGACTATTTCTAGACATGCAAATTATTATGCCGCGTGTTGATAAATTGACTCTTTTCTCAACGAATTGCTTGTATTCTTTGTCCACCCCCTTTATCCAGTGAAGAGTCGTAGTGGAATCTGTCCAGCAAAAATATTTCAGTAATCTTGACCAATGGAAGTAGGGCTGAACGGACTCGGGTAATCAACCTGGATAGTACGAGTGACGCTAAGAGCTCAGTCCTGGAAATGGTTTGCTTGGAAAGCGGTACGACTCGTAACTTACTCATCAACAAATAAACGTATACTCCTTGACTCGTTTCCACTCTGAGATATACAGCTGCCGCGTACGCTACTTCCGAACCGTCTCCGAAGCCGTGTAGTTGAAGCGAAATTACGCTCTCCTCTGGAAGAAAACATCGTTGGATAGGGATAAATTCAGTTTTGACAGATCAGATAACCATTGCGAGTACCTTAAAGAAACTTCCTCATCGAGAGTCGTCTTCGATTGGGACGAAGAGAGGTGAAATCAAACCAAGGGGATCCTACAACTTGGCCACAACCTTGAGTACAGTACGCTTGTTTATGAGTAGTTCTCTAGCAAATTCCACCAGCCAGTCAAATCGGAAAACGAAGGTGTATCTGTCAATGTTCCAATTTAATCCGAGAATTTTCTTCTCGCTTGAAACGGATTTGGAACAACTTTGGACTCCACACTGAGTCTGCGTTTAGGTACTGTCTTCTTCGGATAGCTTAACCACTTCTTTAGCAGGTACTACTCCTTCGTCAATCCATTCCATGAGCCTCTTAGAACTTGACATCCACTTCCTTAAATTGAATCCAGCTTCCTTCATTCCTTCTCTGGAAAAATGGCTGATGAAGAACTGAAAAAGAAGAGAAAGATCAGAGGAGGACATAACTGGTAGACTTAAAACTTGCAGATCAACATCGGAAGACTGTGGTTCACAAGTAGATGTCTTATTTGGCAACGATTCTATTGGTCTTTCTTCACTGGAGACACGAAACAGGGGGAATCAGGACCTGTAACGATGAAGACGAGTCTTGGATGAGTGCTATCTGGTCCTTTGCCCCAAACACCAGGTTCAGATACTGATGTTCATTCAGTCTCAAGGTATACCTTGCGTCTAGACAACTCCTCATGTGGAGACACTGTTACCGAAAAGAGAATTTACGACCCACAGCTGGAAGAAGTGAAAAATTCTGGGAGTTAGAAGCTATTGGTATGTCAGCGCAAGAAAAGACTGTGCATGAGAAGTTCCTGGATACTGTTCATCTTAACAACGGCCGCTATGAAGTCTCTCTTCCTTGGAAAGAACAGCACGCATTACTACCAGATGACTATGTTCAAGCCGTCTCTCGCCTGGCTTCTGTTCTAAAACGTCTAAGAAGGAATCCTGTGTTGTTTGAAGAGTACAACCGCATCATCTTCGCGAGGAATAATCTCCGATGTCGACCCTGACATACCAGTCGAAGTTGATCGCGCACATTATTTACCGTATCATCCAGTTGTGCGCGAAGATAAACAGACGACTAAAATAAGTATAGTCTATGATGCATCCGCCAAGTCTACTAGTCCAGCGACTGCCTTCATGCAGGTCCATCGTTGCTTTCTGAAATATCCGATGTACTAATGCGTTTCAGGTACCATCCAGTTGCTTTGGCGGCCGACATTGAAAAAGCCTTCACAAGGGTCCAGATCAAAGAAGCTGACCGAGATGTTTTGCGCTTTCTTTGAATAGATGATACTGAGGGTGTAAATCCAAACATTGTCGTGAAACGTTTCAACCGAGTTGTATTTGGCGTTACAAGTTCTCCCTTTCTGCTGAACGCAACAATCAGACATCACGTGACCAAGTATGAAGCTAATGATTCCAAGTTCGTGACCGATTTTCTGACCTCTCTCTACTTGGATTACTTCAATGGGGGAAAGACAGCATCACTGAAGCATTTGAGCTCTACAAAAAGTAAGATCAAGAATGAAGGAAGCTGGATTCAATTTAAGGAAGTGGATGTCAAGTTCTAAGAGGCTCATGGAATGGATCGACGAAGAAGGAGTACCTGCCAAAGAAGTGGTTAAGCTATCCGAAGAAGACAGTACCTAAACGCAGACTCAGTGTGGAGTCCAAGGTTATTCCGTTTTAAGCGAGAAGAAAATTCTCGGATTAAATTGAAACATTGACAGATACACCTTCGTTTTCCAATTTGACTGGCTGATGGAATTTGCTAAAGAACCACCCATTAACAAGCGTACTGTACTCAAGGTTGTGGCCAAGTTGTAGGATCCTCTTGCTTTGATTTCACCTCTCTTATCCCAATTGAGACACTCTTTCAGGATTTATGCAAATTGAAAATTGGCTAGGACGACTCTCTCGATGAGGAAGTTTCTTTAAGGTACTCGCAATGGTTATCTGATCTGTCAAAACTGAATTTATCCCTATCCAACAATGTTTTCTTCCAGACGAGAGCGTAATTTCGCTTCAACTACACGGCTTCGGAGACGGTTCGGAAGTAGCGTACGCGGCAGCTGTATATCTCAGAGTGGAAACGAGTCAAAGAGTATACGTTTATTTGTTGATGAGTAAGTTACGAGTCGTACCGCTTTCCAAGCAAACCATTCCCAGGACTGTGCTCTTAGTGTCATTCGTACTATACAGGTTGATTACCCGAGTCCGTTCAGCCGTACTTCCATTGGTCAAGATTGCTGAAACATTTTTGCTGGACAGATTCCACTACGACTCTTTACTAGATAAAGGGGGTGGACAAAGAATACAAGCAATTCGTTGAGAAAAGAGTCAATTTATCAACACGCGGCATAATAATTTGCATGTCTAGAAATAGTCGACTGTGATGGGTCAACAGATTTCGCTTTGGGAATACTCGAGTCTCTTTGTAGATATCAGCTGCTGTCAATCAAACGGTGAGATACGAAAAGTAAATCCCAAGGTGCGATAGAGTTAACAATAGCGCTCTAATTAAAGGCGGGCCGCTCTGTCAACATAGCGTTTTGTAAATTCGTGTCCAGCGTTATTTTTGTTTGACTCGATAGACAACTAACAAAACCTTTTCTGAATTATCAAAGAAGTTTCATGAAGAACCGGTGGTTTAGAAAGCTTAAGCTGTGATCAGGCGGGCTTTTTTTTTCGAGTGTGAAATGCAGCGACAGGGGACTCAAAATCGCAGGTTAGGCGGTGCTCAATCAGCGAGTTACGTGTGATCAGGTGAATTTTTTCCGCGCTCACTTACTCTTTGTCTTAAACGTGATTTCCGCGGGCCTTCGAAAAAAACAGCGCAAAAAATGGCCTGGTCGTTTTAGTTCATTGTGAGTAATGCGGTGCGACTCATGCGAGGGTCACTCTTTCTCTTCAAGAACAGGAGAACTAATTTTTAGGAAAAATGATCGAGGGGGAAGATGTAGAAAATCTCTTTCGTTTTCCTAAATTTCAAGTTTCAATTTTTCTCTTCCTCTCCCCCTTCGTCTTTTTTTTGTACTCGCACGATACGCGCGTGATTTCACAAATTAGCCAATCACGCCGAAGAACTCTAACCTTGACATTGGAAAACTGACATGGACATTTTTCGCGTACTTTTAGTTTTATTTTTGCGGAGTTTTATTTAGTTGTTTTTGAGCTTTCGTTCGCGTAAATTTGTTACCTCTTTGTTTGGGGTTCACAGAACTTTCGGAGTTTTTATTTAGCCAAATGTTGCGGTTCATTTAACAAGTTTAATACATATTTTCTACGGAGTTTGGACTCTAGTCTCTTTTTTTCGTAAATGGATTTTTTACAGTCCTCGCTATGCTAGACAGAGGCTCGAACACAAGTTTCATTTCAAAGAATGTAAAGAGGAAGCTCGGTATAAGCGGTGCTAAAACAAATTTTACCACGAACCTGGCAGGAGGTAATACGAAATCAGAAGAATCAGAGCTCATTAACATAAGTGTTGTGTCAACAGCTGAAGACCACATTCAGAAGTCAATGAGAGCTTACGCGATAAATAAGCCTTACAGTCCAGCAAGAGCAGTCTCTAGAAAGATTGTAAACAGCTACCTACACTTGAAAGCAATATCAAATACACTGTATTCTTCAGGCGGAACTGTAGGACTTTGCTGACGCCTTTATCGACATGCTCTTCACTCCTGGTAATCCTGGAGAGCCCATTGCGAAGAGAAACTGCTTTGGATAGTACGTCATAAGACAATTTGCTTCTCAAGAGAACCAACCTTCTCGAATCCATTAAACTGAAGTTGAAACTATTAGTGCTATTGAAGACATGAAGAAACTCCTTACTCAAGACGTGCTGGGAGTCAAACCCACCGAGCTCTGCACGTGTAGTAATAAAGATTTCAAGGAAAGCAGATTTATCAAGTCAATTGCAAAATCAACTCAAATCATGGATGGGCGGGTCCAAGTGCGCATGCCATGGAAAGACGAGGGTCCCCCAAAAGAGACTAACTACGATGTCGCCTACAAACGAATGATCTCTTCCAGAAGAACGTTCAGGAGGAAAGACTGCCTTGAAGTGATACAAGACGAAGTTCAGAAGCTACTTGAACAAGAATTCGTAAAAGAAGTACCTCCAGAACAGATGAACCATGAAACTCCAGAGTGGTATCTTGCCCAACAAGCAGTTTTCACTCCTGACAGAACGTCCACAGTCCTGCTAGTATTCGATGCCTCCGCGCAGGGACGTGATGGAAAGTCATTGAATTATCATCTCGAGAAAGGAACAAACTATATCGATAGTTTGCCCAACGTGTTCATTGCATGGTGCTTTGACAAGGAAGCGTATACTGGTGACGTACGCAAAATGTTCAACCAAGTGAAGATTCATCCAGATGACCAAGTGTTTCACCACTTTCTGTGGAGAACAAAAGATACCGAGCAACCAAGAGTCTATCGGTGGTTAAGGTTAAACTTTGGAGACAAACCTGCACCAGACATAGCTGCAGCAACAATTAATACCCCGGCCAAAGCCTCGGAAGCTCACGGATTTCCTTGGACAAAGTTCACGACACGTTTACCTTCGAGTGTTACACTATGTAATTGTCACCTTTGAGGAACAAAGATTGAACCAGAGCAGATGACTACCTGGAAATTGTATCCTTGCCTGAAAATGAGCCTACACACACGGATCAACCAGTAGAACCAGTAGAATCTGCTCCTGAGAGAGAGCAAGGGCCTATATCCACGTTACGCCGTTCAATGAGACAACAAACGCCTCCCTCAAGATCTAGGGACTTTGTTATAGACTAAGATCAAATTGTGCTATCTGTAACTTTCATCTTTCAAAAAAGGAAAGGTGTTACACTATGTTACACTACGTCACCTTCGCACTTGCACAGCACGCATAACTATGCAATTAACATTAGCACGAGCACCGCACTCTGTATAAATTATAGTGATTTCGTAATGAATAAAAGTTGTCGGTTTTGACATGGAACTGAGAAAATAACACAAGAAAAGCTCGTTCGTTTCAGATGGAAGCCTTCTGACGAAGAGAAATTGTCTGGCCTACCTTACTCAGCTGTAGGACCCCTTGGGTCTTTTAACCCCAGCAACCATTGAATTTAGGATCGATTTACAAAAACTATGGAGCGTAGGATTTCATGGGGTGAAGAGAGCCAAACGAAGTGGATGGAGGATGTTCAAGTTCAAAAGAAACTCAAATCCTGACAACGCGGTTGGATTGCCAGAGATTCACGGGTTTTGCAACGGAGGAGAGAAAGCCTATGGCTCAGCCATATTTCTTCGATCGAAACTCGCCGATGGCAGTTATTCCTGCATACTGCTCATGGTTAAAGTGTTTGTTGCCCCTTTGAAGAAAAAGTCAGTACCACGCTTGGAGTTCATGGGGTGCCTCTCACTTGCAAAATTACACAGTACATATAAAGAAGCACTAGAATTCGCCGAGATCAGCAATTGCAAGAAACTGTTCTGGATTGATTCTCAGACCGTGTTAACCTGGCTTAAAACCTCTCCAAGAAAGTCCAAACTGTCTGTTTCGGTGAAAGTTGCTGAAATCTAGGAAACAATGGGCTCAGAAGCGTGTAAATACATCAGATTTTATCATAATCCTGCTGACGTCCTGACAAGAGGAACCCCGCCAGAAAAGTTGAAGACCTGGTATGAAAGTCCTCCATTCCTGAAACGCCTAGAAGAAGAATGGCCCAAGTTTGAAGAGAATCCTAGGGTAAGTGGTAAAGAATTGTCCGAGGAAATTAAGCCGCTTAACAACTTCAAGGCAGCGAACACCCATAAACAAGTACGTTGCTCAGCTGAACAGAGTCAAAAGATAACCCTATTTTGGAACATTTGATGCAATCTTATTCCACGTTCGCCAAGACAAAGAAAACTTTGGCTTATGTTCTACGATTCAACAACAACACAAGGTTGAAAGCACAAAAGAGACGCCAATTTCGCCAGAAGAATCGAGAGAATCTGAACTGTTGTTATTTAAGTGGAGTCTACAGACGATCAATGTAGATACCGTAGACAAGAAGCTGATTCCAGCGTAAGATGAACAAGGTGTGTTGCGTGCACATGGGAGACTAGAGAACATCAGATCGTTATAAAATGAGATGTGCAATCCCATTATTTTTGCAAGAGGTCATCAATCGGTAAATCTACTCCTGAGATACCTTCACGAAAAGCGAGCACATTGCGGCTACAAAAGTCTCATGTATGACTCGAGGAAGCGTTTCTGGATCGTGGGTGTGCGAGACATGGCCAAACAAGTAACAGGTAAATGTATGACCTGCAAGAAGTTGCGAAGTCAACCGTTGGAGCAAATGATGGGTCAGATTCCGAGACTGTACGTTGCAGCAGGTTTCCCAGCGTTCAGCAACACAGCAATTGACATGTTTGGACCTCTTCCAAAACGAATCGGCAGAAAAATACTGAAGGGAGCTCTATTAATCATATTTACATGCATGACTACAGAAGCGGTCTATTTAGAGCTCATAACACATAGAAGCTCCGATGCGTTGCTCATGGTTTTTCGACGATTTGCCTCACTCAGAGGACATCCCAGTAACTGTTTGTCGATCGAGGTACGAACTTTGTTGGCGCACAAAGTTATTTGAACGAAATATTGCAAGGTTGGGACATCCCCAAAATTCAAAATGTCTTATCAGAAGAATTTTTATGCCCTTTCCACTGGGGGTGGAACATACCACGAGCTAGCCATCAAAACGGAGTGGTGGAAAGCCTCGTCAAATCAGTAAGACAAGCCTTAGACGCATCATCGAAGATTCAAAACTATACAGAGGAACAGGGAAGAACTTATCTGGCAGAAGTGATCTATTTGATCAATGGAAGTCCTCTCTATCCTAGCTCTGTCGAGATCTGAGAAAATCTGCCTGTCACGTCAAATGACCTCTTAATCGGACACCACCTTCCGCCTCCCGTGCCGGAGCCAGAACAGAGAGTTAACCCGAGACACCTTATGAGAAGCACTGAGAAACGAGTACAAGAGTTCTGAAGTCGTTGGATGAAACGCAAAAATCCCCAAGAAGGTGACTTGGTGTTGGAGATAGAACCCCCACCCCAAGGGAACATGGAAGATGGTAATTAATTTAAGTAAGTAATTTAAACGAATCCCGGACAAGATGGACTCACGGGGAAACCCAGGATAAAGACTGCTACATCAGTTTATGACCGTCCAACTCACAAGCTCTGCTTAATTGCAACCGAACAGGAACTAAATGCAGTATAAAAATTGACATTTATTTAGTTGCTCAATCTATTCACGAGTATAAATAGATTTCCGCACTAGGGGGGAGTGATTTGCCCCATTAATAATTTATTTATGTGAGGACTGGGACTAATCCCGAGAGGATTCAGAAACATTTAAATACGCCCTTTGGTGTATAACGAGGATAATTGTGTAATCAACACGAACATTACCAGGAGAAGAGCGGACCAGAATTTTTTACTTTTTGTTAATGTAAAGTGCAAGCACTAAGCTGCTCTGTTTCTCTTGTTGACATCTGGTCTTCTAATTTTTCACCTTCGACCATGAGTTCGAATCAACAAATTAACCTTCTCTAGGGAAATTTTGGGGTTCAACGGTTCCTGCGGAGCAGACGTAATTTTGGCGAGCGAGTGCTCATAATTTCCCAAAGAAAATTATGGCCACCATATTTTATTTTAATGGCAGCGGAAGGCGCGAAGAGGGAGAAATTTTTACCAAGAAGGTGATCGACAGTCAATAAGAAGGAGAGAGGTGGGGGAAGGGGAGTGCCTGAGGTCATCAGGAACGCCGTTCGTGAGCGAACGGAGTTCCTGATTCGTGCGGCTACGCTCCAGCTGTCAATTACAAGTTAAATGCGGCATTTGGACATTTTGCTCTTGCGGGAAAATGAGAAGGATGGCAAACTCTGTAAAGGATGATGTTGTCAATGTCTTGTGCATTAAAATCGGAACAAAAAGAAGCAGTTGCTATACCGGTTCTGGAAAGGATCTACTGATCGTGTTGCCAACTGGCTTTGGGAAAAGCTCGATACTTCAGGTGTTGGTTCCCTGGAGTAAAAGAAATTATGACAAGGAAACCTTCGAGCGTAGTTGTCGTTTGTCCACTACAACGGGCTGTTCATGATCAAATGGAATAAGCATCTTCGATCGGATTAACGGTAGTTATGCTCACGGATTTTCGTTTGGAGGACATAAAGTGCGGCAAATATCAACTCGTATTTGCGTCAGCGGGGAACATTTTGGTAAAGCCATTTTTTTCGCCCATGAAAGACACAGCAACACCGTTCTACCAGAGTATGCCGGTTTGTGTCAAACAAATTATGGCGCGTAAAACGTCGAGTGCTGTTATTTATGATTCAAAGTATCGTTTACGATCATTTGGAAGAAAAAATCGTCAAATAGATGAACGACAGTTATACTCAAGGATCCTCGTTTGGAATATTTAGAGTGCAAAACATATCAACTCATATCTGAGACCGGGGAGGAGATTTTGTCGCAGCCATTTCTTTCCTAGCTGAAAATAACTGCCTCACCGTTTCACTCATCGGCTCTACTTGTGTTTGTTTTTGTTGTAAGACAATGTTTCCGGTTTTTAATTTAACTCATTTACCTGCTCATCTCCGTAAATACAGTGACACGCAACTACTGAGGGGGTGTTTTGCTTTCCAACAATCTCCTCGGGCAGGCGTCTTCTCGCCCTTCCCCCGTCCCCTACCCCCACCGTCCACTCTAACTCCAAATCAAACATGGCCGGACTGATAATCGATCGCCCTAATAAGACGCCTGCTATCCACATATTAAGTTAAGGTCATCTGCATCCTAAATGTGCATTATTTTACGCGTACTTGGCGCCCACTTAATAACACATGGCTAGTTTCTCTTTGTGGCCGAAGTTTGCCAGTGAGGTATACTTAAAAAATGCATCGTATTCTTGAACTATACCGGTGAGGTATTCTTGAAAAATGCATCGTGACCTGGAATTATTTTCTCCTCTTTTGAATCTTGCAATGAATTTCCTTAGTAGATCAATGAGAGGAAAATTCAATTTAGCAGGTCTGTTTGCACCTTAATTTGACATTCTGAGAACTGTACGAAATTACTACGCGGATACATAGTAGTTCTACCATTCCTTATGAAGCATAATCGTCCCTCTTTCTTAGAGCCAGGCGTATATAGTGGACACGACGCTATAACCTAAAAAAAAACATTTCAAACGGCGCGCGCACTCTATTAGACGGATCAGGCCACAAGAGATGCACTTCACGAGAAATAAATTGCAAAAATGATCTCGGCTCTTATATCACTTCTTGTATGTTTTTTTTTATGAAATGCAGATAAGGACGATTGTTTAACTGCTGTGTGTCACAATGGAAGAGTGAGTATCAACAGAATCGACAGCTACACTGCAAGAAAGGATTCATTGGAGAACAGTGTGGTAAAAAACTCCAAAAGGTCAAAGGGTGTATTTTGGTGACACCTTTTCTTCAACTGTGAAGGCTTTCCGACAGCACACGAGAGGTAAAATTTGACCCACCTCTTTACCGCTCGAGCGTTTCTTTTTAGAATACATTTTGCTTCGCTTCGGGGGTGCAAGGGATTTTTCCTTTTTTTTGAACCTCTTTTCATATTTTTGTTCTTTTTGTTCTACGTCAGTGGTTAGTTCTACTGATTTTCAGAGCGAGACTGAAAAGCTTGCTTTTGCCTACCAAGTAGCTTAAAACCCGGCTTGGTCATGATAATCAAACCTAACTCTGTACATGCATTAACCCATCCCCTTTCGAAGATGCACGTGGCGAGAAATTTCCGCAAAAGCCATCACCCCATTGAGGCTCTCACATATTGGGGCCAGGAGATTATAAACCAGTTAAGAATCTCTTGTTGGAGCTAAATACTTCAGAAATTGTGTTCCTTTCTACTCTACTTAGTTGAGACTGTAGTTTTGTAAGCTTTTTCTAGAATTCCAATCTCTCAAGATAAGCATTGTTTACATCTGACATCCCGTTTAATTCGAATAACCCATATAATCCGATCCCTATTTCTCCATTTACAACTGACATTAAACTGTCAAAACACGTTTAATAAGCATGAAATTTCTTAGCTTCCCAAAGTATCCCTAGACCTCCAACCTTCCAACTAGAGAGATGAGAATACTCTTGCTCTTCAGAATTCTGATAATTTAGGAAAATAATTTGCTAGGTTTTCCTCAAAAGAATGATAACTTGAGGTACCTAGCTTTCCCAAGTTTTCACAGCATGTTACGAGAAGTTGCTTACAACGTAATTACAGAGGCTAACTAGAAGGCCTCCTTGGAGCTAACTATCAGACGTAAAACGGTCTCAAATGTTTTATAATTGTAAACGGTCAAAAAGCAGCTCTGAAATCCTAACGGTGGAATCCTTAGAAGGAACTTGCATTCGATTAAAGAGATTCAGTCAACTGAGCTTAAAAATGGAGCCTAAGATGTTTTTCCCCACGGGTTTAATGACATTTTATTGTTTAATTCCAATCTTTTTTATAAGGATGCTCACCTGTGCATTCAGCTTTAAAAGTTTC